AGGCTGCATCCCAGGAAGAAAATGGCAGCTCTTTCACACGTCAGGCTGGAAAGTCCCTGCTCATATCAGAGGGCATTACGTAACCGAGTCGGGCGAGGCCTGCAACGGAGCCTTATCCAGATATTGTGCGACATCTTTACATTATGCAGTCGGACCAGGAATATTGTGCAAGATTCGGTTGCTATGCCTAGCGCACGTTTATCATGGGGGCGCACATAAGCCTCCAAGTTCCGGTATGATTGCTTGCTTGCTGAACTGCCGGACTGGAGGATAAGCCGATTATCTCAACGATGACGATGGCCTCTATGAGCTGCGTCCTTGGTAGTTGTTCCTTTACTTGAAGGTCATCTGTTGTGGCACCACCACAAGTGCACCCTAAAACACGTGATTTGTTCAGCACTGCCGAACCGACGGCATGGGGTCTCAAAGAGGCGCTGTCATTCAGGCAGTGACGCCGGTCTCGACGGTCTGAGTTATTTCATACTGCGCAGTAAAACTGTAAAGGTCGTTCGACACCAAGAAAGTTGACGATGGAAGTCGGAATTCAGTCTAAATACCGTTTTCCATCCTGCGGGACCTTATTACTGGTCTCCCTTTGTGTGAAATCTTGTTTCTGTGTGTGTGGGGGGAGGCAGTGAGGCACTCTCAGACGGGCCGTTTTCAACTCTGTCAGCCACTGCGCCCATTCCCGCATCAAAAAACTGGGCGGCTTAGACAGTGGACTGATATCCGGAAGAGAGAAGTGAGAGAAATCGACTGTCTCAGCGCATACACATCGCTAAAAAGAATCCAACGCGCTTGAATCTATCACGGTGCGCAAAAAGTCTTCACTTGGAAGTTTGCGGACTGATGGGATAGCTGGGCCTTCCCCTCAGGATGGATAGCCGGGCTGCAGTGGCTCTTTCTTAATGTGACCTCTATGGCACTCCCGCTCACTTGGGATCCGAGCCTTCTCCCTTTTCTTCTTGTGTGAAATTCTGGTTCTTTCTACGCGGACCGGTGGTTTGGTGGCAGGTCTAGGTGCGGGCTCACACCGCGCCATCAACCTGCGCTATCTTTCTCCTGCGATCTTCTTAACTTGGCCATGACACCGGGCCCAGGCGGGGGGGGGGGGGAAAGAGAGGGTGCGATCGATGCAACGCAAGTCCACTATCAAGATAAACTAATTTACACGCAAGTCAGTATCCCTGCACCCACACCCTACTGTGGGGCACATAGTGAACGTCGTCCGGGACGGCTGTCGAAATGTCTCATAGGCCTTTCCGTTGCCGCACCACTCACATTCGTGATGGGGTCCTTGGGGCTTCCAGACATTCCCTTTGTTATAAAAAAAGTTGGAAAATAAAGTTAAACAGTCATACTGTATGGACATCGGTCAATCCTAATAATATCTCCCAGATGGACTGCGCAGCTGTCCTACCAATTCGAGGGGGAAGCCACACAAATCCATGGCGTGCGTCAGTCGGACTGCCGCACATGCACGTGACACGTTTTAGACCGAGTACCCACGCCACCTCAACCGCAATATCATCACCAGTTGAGTGAACACTGGTGCACGCGAAAGGGACTGGGGGACGAGACAGATCCACGCATGTGTACACTTCCTCATGATTAGAAGTCTGACACGCTGCAAAGTTGTGGTTTGAAAGATTACCTGGCTGACGACTTAACTCGACCCACTATCGGGAGAGGAATCCGGCTACAATGCTTCCTACCTTTCATAGTACGCGCATGTGTGTGATTTCCGAGACCCTCTCAAAGATGCTTCTTGCGTTTGAGGGCTCTTGGTAAGCGCACGTAGCGAAGCCTCGGTGACCTCCGTTTGGGGAGTGCAAAATACATGCCCACCGGTGGATGTTACGCCCACACGTCTTAAGTAAACGTATGTGACCCAACGCAGTGATCTGCCGCGAAGGCTCTAATTTGAAACTTTAAAAGACACCGTGCCGAACATATTTCCTCCTATAACCAGATCATTGGAGGGCCACTTCCATGTAGCCAAAGACGACTTCACCAATCGGAAACTTGGAGGTGTCAAATGAGTGCGAACTAGTCTCTATGAATAGCAGAGTTAATGACTGCTGGTCAGTTGGATGTGACTCGCGTAAACGAGGGCTTTACGCCAGCTCCTCCTTGGTGCTCATGTTTGCGGCAGTCATCTTGACTCGCACCACAGAGAACAGGAGAGGGTGAAGTTGATGCTGCGCGAGTCTTGCTATCAAATAAACGTGAGTGGGTGTTTTCCATCCACCCCCACGGCAAATCAACGCATTCCTCACTACAATGAATCTGATAGGCGCATGGTGCGTGTGGAGTGAGGACGTGCAGTAGATGCTGCGTAAGTCTGCCCCGCTGCACGCACGCCTTCAGCCGTCTGGGCTTTGTCATGCCTCCGGGGCCTGGTGCGTGTGGCGTGAGGGCGTGCAGTAGATGCTGTGTAAGTCCGTCCCGCTGTAAGTTGATTCAAGCACAAGTGTCATCGCTACGCCCACGATGTGAGTCACGCGCTGGACGTCGTCGCTTGCGACGTTCAAGCTGTCGCCCATCAGTTTCGCGCGCTATGTAGACCTTAGCAAAGTGGACTCCATGCTTCCTGTAGGAGAGAGACGTGGTGTTACGAGAGGGTGGTAATGGCGCTCACGTTCATCGCCAGTCATCGTGTTGTTAATTAACGACGATGGGCGGGGGGAGCGTGGGTTTTGTGCTGCACGAGTCTTGTTACCGGAACGTGGCTCTGTCTTGCCACCGGACCCAAGAGGGTGAGGAGGAGAGGGTACGGTAGATGCATCACGAGCCCACTGTCACTATAACTTAATTCACCCGTAAGTAGCTGTCCCTGCGTCTACCATGCAATGGGACACACGGTAGACATCGTCGGTAACAACGGTCGGCTGTCATTTGCTATAGAAGGATGGGGCTGTAAATGCGTCGACCGATGACCTGGACTATAACAGTTAAAAACATTCGGTTGTAGGACTGCCTCAAGTATGCGTGAGTCCCTAACAGTTGCGGAACACGGGATTGGCACGCGTTAGATGAAGACTAATGCTTTATCTCGACCATTGAGTCTATTCTCATCACCAGTTAATCGACGGTTTCGCAGGATTCAACAACGCATGAGAAGTAGACAAGACAGAGAGAGAATGTGGAAAATCAGTGCATTTCCTACTATATATCCTGGAAGCTTGGATCTATTGCGACACATACTGGCGTGGCTTAGAAGGCTACCAGTCGACAAAACACCACGGTCCTACTCAGGACTGAGGGGTAGACTGCAATGGCCCCTTCTTAATGTGGCTTTAATATGACAGTTTACGTGAGATCCAAGATCCCTCACGAAGCCGTATTGCGTGTCGATTTGGCAACCAGATTGTACTTGGCACGCGTAGAAGGGTTGTTCAGCCTTGTCAGCCACTTCGGCTATCCTCACACCCAACCGTCTTGCCTTTGGAAGGATAAAAGTGTGAAAAGAGTGAGGTATATGCAACAAATGACAGCCTCCTTACGAAGATGAGAGCCACTGCTGTATCCATCTCGTGGGAAACTGCTGATCCTGGTCGGAATATAGTTAATCCCCGCCTATTCGCAGTTCGGAGTTAGCGGATTCATTTACTCACGAATTTCTTTTTTCCGCAGAGCATATCCAAAACATTTGTTAAATATTTTCATTTACTAGTGGGGCAGTTTTAGGTGTGTTCACGCGTGTATTTAAGCTAATATATTTTGAAGGGTAATGTCTAAGGCGGCTTTGAAATAATATTAAAGTGTTTTAGGATGTTAGTTTGGGCTATATTTGGTGTTTGAACATTACAATAAGCAGTTATAAGCTTTTCAGAGGAATCTCAGGTATTCATGGATTTCAGCTATTCGGTGGGTGACTGTGGTCCCTAACCCTCCCCTACCATCTTGCCCCCCCCCCCCCCCGTGAATACCGGGGGTCGACTGTGTCGCGTGCGTCGTGCCCTCAAAACGGGCGGCGCTGTCGAGTGTGACCCAGAGTGGTGTCAAAATCCATGTCTGGCGCACAAAACAGAGGTTTTTTTGCTGCCAATTACTGAACACGCTCTCATCATAATCGGTTGAACTCAGACGGCCACTTTTTTTATGATGGGACAGTGAGGAGAGTGATTCAGGCCCTGCAATAACACTATCGACACTTTGAAAGTATCGATACGCTTTGGGGCTCTCATGGTGCAGTCAAAGTCGGGGCGGGAAGGGCCCCCAACCTACGGGTTACCTTCAACCTCGGAGACGAGGGTCAGAAGACAGGGGCACCTCGAGACAACCGCCATATGTGTGATATCGAACTGCGCGAAGAACGCCTGACTGTGGCTTCAGCACAAGCGCATATTTATCACCGAGCCCGCGTCCACCTCCTTTCGATTGTCATTGTCTTGTCAAAAGCGCGCGATAATTGCGGGTGAGATCGATGTCACACAAGCCCCCTGCAGCACAATCCAGTTCACACACACACACACACGCCGCCTTCGCTCCGCCAAATTACTCTCAGTCCCTATCGAGCTCGAAAGATGAACTAGTGGCCAGACGAAAGTGTCCGTTTGTGTCATTCACGCCTTTGCCTCGTCTGCTGTAGAATATGCACAAAATTGTTGGCGCTTGTTAATCAGCACTACCGTCGAATGTACATATAATCTACCTAAGTAATCCGGTCAAAAGGGCGACGGTTAAATCCTATCAGTAGTGTTTTTGTGGAAATCATTCACATGTTTTCGATCTAAATGGAAATCTTAGCATGTTTTTGGCTAGTAGATGTTAGATTCCTAACAAACTAGGTAGCAGTAATTGTTATAAGCCAAAGTAGCTGAGAATAAATACACGAGATCCTTGGAACATTGTGATAGGTTCAAGCGCGTCAGATTATTTATAGTGATGAATTTTGTATAGAATATCGACCCACAACACACCGAGGTTTCGCATTAAATTGGGCAGACTGCTTGGGTCTCACATGTAACAAAATAGCCGAAGGACCCTATTCCCACTTACATGAGAGGTTGAGATGATGTGGGATGTTGGATGTGTGTATGTGTGGTGCCTGTATTCATGGGGGAATGTGTGGTCATGTGGTCATGTCTGCGATGATTTTCCGCAGCTTTTCGTGAATGCTCATGTGACCAGATAGGCCCATGCGATGTGTGTGTGTGTGGACGGTAAAGGTGGATGCGATGAGTGCACGTGGGAGCGCCTGACACTGGTGCGCCGGTCGCGGTGCGATGGAGTCGCATGTGACCGACCAGGCCGATGCGTAAAGTAAATGCGCGGTCGCATTGAAGACAGGTTAGGACCGAATCTGCATCGATGGAGATGGGGATGGTAAGGTCGAGGGTGGTGGTTGGCTGATCATCGGGAGAGTTTTGGTCGGTGGTGGGAGTGGGAGCTGTGGTAGCCGTCGTGGCGGCGAAGGTTGTGGCAGGGATGAGGAAGATGGCGGTGATTGGCGATGGTTGAGCACGACGATGCTCAGCATTGGTGGAGAGGACGGTCGTCGTAGTGGACGCCAAGGAGCGATCGGAGAAGCAGCAATTGGGCTTGTCGGGCAGGTGCCGCGTTGAATCCGGTGATGTCCGGCGAGGCCGATCCGCGCGCAGAATGTTCATTGACATCTCGGGAATGTTGGCCCTCATCGTCCATGCTCACGAGGTGGCCGATAGTTTTTAGTTGCAGTTGCCTCAGTACAGTGTGGGTGCTAAGGATTTCAGTCCATACTAAGGTTTCTGTGCCCGGGATCCTATCTTGCCACCTCAGCTTTAGTATCCGCTGGTGATAACTGAGGTGGAAGTCTCTCGAAGGGCAGATGTTTCCGATTTTCGGACCCGACGATCCGACAGCAGCATTGTTAAGATGACAAATTTATACATCTTCGGTTTGATGTCGAGGTTGAGGCCGTGGCGATTCCACACGGATTTCTGCATCCGGCCGAAGGCTTGGCTGGCTTTTGAAATCCGGTAATTGACTTCGTCGTCAAATCTGATTCAGCGCGAGTGTATTGCCTAAGTGGGCGATGTTGTCCAGTCTTCATTTGGGCGCCATTTACGTGGGGGCAATGAACACTGTATGCAGTGTTGGGTGACGATTGATGCATGACCACCGTTTTGTCCATATTGATGTTCATCTCGAAGTTGGCGCAGCCGGCGGCGCAAAAATCCATGCTCCGTCGCATATTCGCGTCCACTCCGGTTTTGAGCACGCAGTCGTACGCGAGGAGCAGGTCGTGGAGAGAGACGTTGAGACTTGAATGCTCCGGATGTTGAGAAGATAGCCGTCGATGCTGCAGACGATGCCGATCCTGGGACCCTCGTCACAGTAGGCGTCCACTCGCATGGCAGAAAACATGAGACTAAAGAGGATGGCGGGAGTACGCAACCCTCCTTCACTTCTTTGGTTACTGCAATTGCGTCTGAAACGGTCACATTCTCTGTGACGCGAGCCATCATCCCGTTGAGGAGCTGACGTACCATGTGCGTGAGTCGTTCAGAATAGCTGAATTTCTCCATGATTTTCCACAGTCCATCGTGATTCACTTTGTCGAAGGCTTTCGCCAAAGTCCATAGAGGTAGCGTAGAGGTGGGTCCGCATTTCCTGGAATTTTCCTTGCAACTGGCGGGCAACAAAGGTTAATTCGGTTTGTTCGTGGTGGCGTCGGAAGTAACACCGTCCCTCGGGTATAATTCCATGTTCTGTTTATTCGCTGAAACGGTTGAGAAGAATGTGAGTAAAGATCATCTAGGCGATGTTTAGAAACGAGATTGTCCTGAGATTATCACAAAGTTGCCCGTCCTCTTTCCGCGTGTAGAGATGGACAATTGTCGCATCCTTGACGTTCTGAGGAACTGAGCCCTGACACCACACCTCCGGGAATAGCTCAGCTGATGCAGTAGCCGGGGGGCTGTTGTGCCTGTACACGTCGGTTGGAATCGCGTCAGCTCCCTGTGTTTTCCTGCTGGAGAGTTGACGCACGGCCCTGATTGTCTCCGGGAGAGAAGGCGGGAGATACAGGTCGTCGTTCGTCTCCACTTGAAGGAGTCTGCCACTGGCGGCGTCGGAGACAGCGGATGAGCCGTTGAGGGTACTTTTGAAGTGTTCGACCCAGCGCTTTAGAATCTGTGATTTCGTCAGTAGTGTTGTTCCATCGGGGCTGCGAAGCGGCACAGTACTTTTTATCGTGCGGCCGTAGATGGTCTTGATTGATGCAAAGAAGTTCTTTATTTCATTGCGGCCAGCATACCCCTTGATTTCCCCGGACTTGCAAGCCATCTTGAGTCCCTTCACCCGCAAGGGAGTACGCAGTGCTGTCCATAAATAGGGCTTCCTAGACATCCCAGACGTCTGCCGCGGCTTTGGCTAGTAGAGAGCTACCCAAGTTGTTTTTAACTGTCTACGCGACTGCATGTCGCCCTCTCCGTAGGGCCTCGAAGTGGAAAGGAGGGAGAGGTGAGGGAAGGAGAGGGGAGGAAGACAGAGAGCAGGCTGGCCGGATCCGAGGACACATGCCGATCAAGGGATTACCGGAATGTAGCCGCTAGGAAGAGCCTAACTTCGGGCAGTCACAGACAAGAGTTGGGTGTCAGTTAGGGACCGTGAGGTGCAGTTACAATTTGCATGGTGCTACCCACCGTTAACACATGGACAGTTCGACCACCACCACCACCACCACCACCACCACCACCACCACCACCACCACCACCACCACCACCACCACCATCGCAATACGCGATGGTCCAGCCGTTAACACACGGCCAGTTCAACCGTCGGTTTGGACGATTTCCACCGTCTGCTCCACAGTAGGCTGAGAGCAGGGACGGTGACTTGCGCGCGAATTAGTTTATAGCGGTAGGCTTGCACAGCATCTACTGCACTCTCTCCTCCTCCCACCTGGGCCCGGTGTTAAGACAGAGTCAAGATGATGTGAGGCGGGAGAGAGTGCAGGCGACTGACACAACGAAAACCCGTATCCAGACGAAACCACCATACGCCTTGGTTCACGACGTACACTGACCAGGATGGGGATGGAGAGCGCACGGATCCCAAATGGTGCGGTGTGGACCTGCACGCGGGCGTGTCATCACACCCCAATTTTTGCATTTGTTATGGGTGCGCATTCCTGATTAGGTCTGCTGGTCTCCGTTCTAGCCCCCTGTGTTGGTCCAACGCATCTACCACGTGGGTAGCTCTAGCACATGCTTCGCACCTATGACTCCACGTCGGTAAGCTCGCCAGCTGGCGAGTCAAACTAGATTAGGGTATCCTGTACGTCTGCGTGTCCTGCCAAAAACCAGTATTCAATCCATCAGTCTTTACCTCTCCTCCTCGTCCTCGCTAAAAGAATCATAAAGAGCCACAGCGAGGGCGACTTTAAGCCCATAGGCTGCCCAGGCCAATTTAAATCCTTCTTCCCCCAATTCAATGTCGTAACCCCTGGTTAACTTTTGGAAGTGGTCTAGAATACACACAGCCCTATTTCTGCACGCCTTGGTTACTCTCAAACGAGGGAGGGAGCCATTGAGTGTGGCCTAAAAACGCCCTGACGATGGGAAGAAACAAACTTCACGCAGACCTGTGCCGAAGGCAAACAAATTTACTCTCCTCGATGACTTCAATATGCGCCAGGTCATCTATGCGGGAGTGTCAGGTCGTTACGCTATCGGCAGCTGGGACAGCAGTGAACTCCTTCGGTTATGGGCATACACAAAATGCATTCTCAGCAACTCTAACCTCCAGCTCCCAAACCGGGAGAAGACAGTGTGCATGTACCCTCGCACGCGTCACTAGCAAATACTGGAGTACGTGCTCTGCAGGAGGCGTGATCAACGCGATGTTCCGGTGACAAACGACGCAGTGGGTTGACTACTTCCAGCTGATGACGTCCTTGTTGTCTGGAAGACGAGACCACACCTTCAACCCCACAGGCGTCTGCAAGGTAGAAGGCCGGCGAGTATTTTGCACCCGCATGAATCTCAGCCTGGAAAATGCAAATCCTGGGAGATAATGCTGTTATTACGTCCAACTGGAAGAAACTGAGACAAATCATCCATGCCACTGCTCTGGAAGTTTTTGATATCTCACGCTGACAATGTCAAGACCGGATAAATCTGCTATCTGCCCTGATAAAGAGAATACGCCATACGCCACCAATGCCAGGACCAATAGCTTTACAATGGCTTCGAAGCTTGCTGCAACAGGGAATGGAGGAAAAGCAAACCGACAGTAGGAATCTAAGGATGCGCCGACAGTGGGGAGATGAAGAGTGTTTTTCACGTCCATCAAAACAATCTACCCCCCCCCTCCAACCTACCTGAACTTCGCAGCTCCTCAGCTCAAACGGAGAACTCCTTCTGAAGGATAAATGGTACAGCAACATACGCCTTCAAATGGAGGTCAACGCTCACCTATACCGTCCAAAATCCTTGCAGCAGGTCACAAAAGCGGCACAACACATATTTAAATGTAAAGCAGCGGGCTTCAAGTTAATATCTTCCGAAATAAATAAACACGATGGACCTAAGCTTCTAGGCAGTTTTACCTCCCTATGTTGGAGGAACGGACACATTTCACAAGATTTCAACGACTCCATCGTCGTCAACTTGCGCAAACGCAAAGGAAACCGGAAGCGGTGCAATAACCGCAAATGGATAACCCTTCTCAATAATGCTACAAGATCCTCACCTGGGTTTCACTCAGTCGCCTGAATTGATGCTGGATGCGAGGACTTCTTCCTAAAAGTTAATTTGGATGTCAAGGGAACTGCGGAAGCCTCGGTATGATCTTCGTTGTTTGCCAAATATATGAAGAATGTCAAAAAATACGGACCAGACTCTTGACCACCATCACTGATCCGACAAGGGTTTTCGATGCAGTCAACCGCAGTGGACTCTGAAAATACGGTAAGATGTGGTTTGGTAGCCCCACCTGATGGACAAAATACCGTTGGGGTTGGGGTTAGGGGTTAGAGTTAAGGTTAGGGTTAGCGGTTGGGGTTTCGGATAAGGGGTTATAGTTAGGGGTTAGGGTTAGGAGTTAGCGCAACTATTTCTCAACCACTGAAAGTACAACCACGCACTCCCACGAGATATTCTTTTGCATGCAACTACATGACCTCGTCACCGGTGCGTTCCCCGTCTTCACCTGTAAAAACCCCTATTACCATCGGCCCCGTATTAGAGGTGACTTGGGTTTGTTTACCTCAGGTGGGGTTACCAAACCACATCCGACCGAAAATGCATGACGTACTTTGGATGTCCGAAGGGACTTACGCAGATGACACTATACGGCGACTGGTGCAGTGCGTCAGGGCCAATGAGCAGTCCCGGGGCATTCGCAGTGACCAATGAGATGAGGCAGGATTGCATACTCCCTCAACTTCCTTTCAACCTCTTGTTCTCCACCATGGTTATGGACTCCTATCGTGAGGAATGGCAGGAGGTCTGTATCACTTACCGAACCAGTAGGCAACAACTCAGCCTCCGGGGCATACAGGAGAAATGGAATCACCCAAGACCAGTGTCCGTGACCTCTTTTTCACGAGTGGCTTCGCGTTGAACACCACGGGGAAAACGGGAACGCATCGGAGCGCGGACTCCATTGCCTCTGAGGAAAACAAGGAGCCAAGGGTAAGTGTCAACAGAATTGGCCCCACAGCTGAATGTGGCATGAATGTGTGGTACGAAATTCATTAGCTTCTGTGGGATGACGGCGTAATACTCATAAGCTGTCAACCGTCGATCAGTAGTATACACCTGTTGCTTGATTTGCCATACTGACAGCTCAGGCATTAGTTAACAGCCCGGGCACGCATTTCGACGTCATTCTGCCGCTGCGGGACCAGAAAGTGCATGGGAACACTGGGGAGTCACTGCGCAGCCGAGCACTCCGCAGGTGTGTCATACGGCTGCAAAATATCGGCGAAAACGTCATGTTTCTGTCCTGCCTTGGGCAAGTTAGATAAAAGCGTTTTCATCTCAAATTGATGTTTGGACTCAGTGAACAATTGCGACCACCACCACCACCACCACCACCACCACCACCACCACCACCACCACCACCAGAAATGCAGGCACGAAGCCAACATTCTAATCGCGCACCGACCTGACCAGCCATCTGCCTATACATCGGAGCGTGACTGGGCAACCATTACGTGGGGCCTTGGTCTGCACTCACCGCGCCACACCTTCCTTGCACCATGTGTCCAGGGGCATGCAGACATCGAATGCGCCTACTTTGTTATATGCACATGCATAAAAACCCACAGTCGAATGGCACAGTTCAGGCATACCCCAGGCCACTTTGCGTGCATACATAAACAACTCCCGGGACTGCGGGCACATAGAACCAAAACGGAGATCGCATGGACTCACGACTCACGTTTATCAGGTTGCAAGTCCGAGTGATACCTGCGCTACTGTCGTACATGTGTGTGTGGTGGCACGCCTCAGGCAAGAACTTCCTGTCGAGTCCACAGCCGACCTGACCCGGACAGGTCATTGGTGCTGGAGAGAGGGAAGAGTTTTGTCGACAGTAAGGAGTCTATCCTTGTGGCAAATCATCACATTCTAGCAAGCGTGGATCTGTCACCACAAGCTAACAGTTGTTGCTTTGGAATTTACCAACCGCCGAAGGGACTGGGTCGTATTTGTTCATGACGGAGGATCAGGCTGCAATGCCTTATTTCCTATGTGGTCACTATGGCACTTCCACCTACATGGGATCCCGGGGCCTCTGATTGAAACCTGGCTCGTGTGGGGTTAGGAAACAAGTCATTTGCGTCACTCCTCGGCTGGCTGCTTAGTTCTTTCAACCAGGCCAGGCTCCAGTCGTCCTCACACTGTCCTGTTAAAAGAAGGGGTGGGTGTGGGAAGAGACAGTGAGGTAGATGCAGTGCACGTTCCCTTCACTATAATATCATGTAAGGGAAGAGTTGGGAAGAGAATTTCGAGGAGCTGAGTAGGGTTTTTAGTTTACAGTCTGAGGACAGAGAGCGTTTACCGATTGAGCACATGTAAATGCGTGTATTATTTTCCGGTTTCATCAGTTTCCCCGCTGGGCTGTCTGTTCATGCCGGCCTACCGGTCCGTTCTTTTGAAACTGAGTTGCTATATTTGTCGTCCACATTCGTATGTAGACCATTCCCACTTTAAAGAAAGAAATTGTTACTCGGTCAGCCACATCCAGTCTTTCTCGTTTGTTTGCTTGTTAATCAATCTCTCCGCCTACTGGTTGCACCATGTTTCCTTGATGAAATCAAGGTTCTCGTGGAAACT